ACACACACACACAAACTTAATATCACACTTTTCCATTCCAGGAGGTAGTTTATTTAGGTAGATAGTAGAGAAGTTAAAATTTTCAACATGCCTATGATATATTAATGGCAGCTCATAAAACCAAGCATAAAACTTACCATTTCCTAGGGACTGACTATTACTCAGTAGCTTTGCCTGCCTTCTTTCCAAGGCCAGTTGTTTATTTCTCTCAATTCTTTGTTGTTGCTCTTCTGTTAGGTTTCTACTTGACTCAGAAGCAAACTTCTCACTTTCAGATGAGTCTGTCAAAAAGGGATCTAACTCGGCAGCAGTTACATCAAGGCCTTTGCTTTCCCCCACTTCATCTGCAGTAGAAAAGAAAAAAATAGTACAACTGAAGCCTTAGRAAAAAAGAGATTATGCAGATTTGAACTGAAAAGTGGCTTGAAGAGGCAACAGGTCAGGGCACAGTGATACATGCCTGTGATCCCAGTAACTCAGGAGGYTGAGACAAAAGGATCCCAAGTTTGAGGTCAGTTTGGACCCTATGCTAAAATAAAAGATAAAAAAGGGCTGGGTAGGGATGTAGCCCCTGGGTTCAACCCCCAGTATGAACAAAAGAAAACAAAACATAATAAAATGGTGGCAAGTGGCTGCATCTAAAGAAACAATTCATGAGGTATGAGAATATTGCAAATACATGCTTGATTCAAACAAGTAAAAGAAAAAAAAAAATTTTTTTTTTTTATTGGGGAGTACTAGGAATTGAACCCAGGGGCACTTAGCCACTGAGAAACATCCCCAGCTCTTTTTATTTTGAGATAGGGTCTTGTAAAATTGCTTAGAGCCTCACTAAATTGATGAAGTTGACTTTGAATTTGTGACCTCCTGCCTCAGCCTCCCAAACTGCTTAAATTACAGATATGTGCCACCACACCTGACCAAGAAATTTTTATAAAACACCTTAAAGGTGCTTGTTTAATCAAATGAAAATATTATTAAGTGGTAGAGTACTTGCCTAGCATATGCAAGGTCTTGAGTTAAATCCCCAACACTGCAAATAATAATTAAGAAAAATTAAACCAGGCGCAGTGGCACATGCCTGTAATCCTAGTGGCTCGGGAAGCTGAGGCAGGAGGATCATGAGTTCAAAGCCACACTCAGCAAAAGCACAGCAC